TAGTTAACTATTGTCTATGACTACTATAGTAATGCTTAGTTAACTATTGTCTATGACTACTATAGTAATGCTTAGTTAACTATTGTCTATGACTACTATAGTAATGCTTAGTTAACTATTGTCTATGACTACTATAGTACTGTTTAGTTAACTATTGTCTATGACTATTATAGTACTGCTTAGTTAACTACTGTCTATGACTACTATAAGATAGTTTAGTTAACTATTGTCTTTAACTACTACAGTACTGTTCAGTTAACTATTGTCTTTCACCACTACAGTACTGTCCAGTTAACCATTGTCTTTCACTACTACAGTACTGTCCAGTTAACTAGTGTTTATGACTACTATAAGATCGTTTAGTTAACTATTGTCTATGACTACTATAGTACTGTTTAGTATAAGATAGTTTAGTTAACTATTGTCTATGACTACTATAGTACTGTTTAGTTAACTATTGTCTATGACTACTATAACATAGTTTAGTTAACTATTGTCTATGACTACTATAAGATAGTTTAGTTAATTATTGTCTATGACTACTATAAGATAGTTTAGTTAATTATTGTCTATGACTACTATAACATAGTTCAGTTAACTATTGTCTATGACTACTATAGTACTGTTTAGTATAAGATAGTTTAGTTAACTATGACTACTATAAGATCGTTTAGTTAACTATTGTCTATGACTACTATAAGATAGTTTAGTTAACTATTGTCTATGACTACTATAGTACTGTTTAGTATAAGATAGTTTAATTAACTATGACTACTATAAGATAGTTTAGTTAACTATTGTTTATGACTACTATAACATAGTTTAGTTAACTATTGTCTATGACTACTGTAGTACTGTTTAGTATAAGATAGTTTAGTTAACTATGACTACTATAAGATAGTTTAGTTAACTATTGTTATGACTACTATAACATAGTTTAGTTAACTATTGTCTATGACTACTATAAGATAGTTTAGTTAACTATTGTTTGTGACTACTATAAAATAGTTTAGTTAACTATTGTCTATGACTACTATCACATAGTTTAGTTAACTATTGT